GCTTAGCCCGAACGAGCGACGTGGGGACGTCCTCCCATGGGCCCACCACCTGCAGGAGGATCCGTAAGGGGCTGGTGCAAAGTGGATTGGGCAACAGTCTCATACAATGCGTTGCAAAAGCATTGACCATCCTTTGTATCTTTTTTGTTTTGTTGCAATACAACCTGAAATTAAAACAGATTATTATTAGGATTTTATGTAATGGACCTAACAAAACAGTCCAAATAGTTTAAGTGGAATAAAAAAAAAACCTTGTTTAAAAAACAAATAATAATAATAATAAATGAAAAGCTATGAGTGCACAAGTGTTCACCCCACTAAATAAGAGCTGGTCCTACCAGTTAACTTCTGGAGTCATATAATTAGTTAATGAAAGTTCACCTGTGTGCAATCCAAGTGTCACATGATCTATCACATGATGTCAGTATTCTGTAACCCATCCTGGATTATCTTCACCAGAGAAGAGCTACTAAACATCACAGAACTCACTCTGCATTTTTGATAATGCAAAAAGCTGTGTGGACATTGTGGTTGGAGGGGCAGTAGCCCTCTATGGGACCTGGAGAAAACGCCAGCGAGGGAAGAGAGCGGGGATCCTGGTTAAATTAAGACAGAGAGGGACCCAGGCGCCACTCTTGCCTATCTATCAAGTGAATCTCCGCTCTCTAGCCAACAAAATAGATGAACTCCTTCTTGTCAACTCTGACTTGTCATGCTCTGTTGCTCACGTAGACTTGGCTCAGCGACTCCATCTTGGACAGTGTAGTACAAATACTGAGGTTCCAGGTATACAGAGCAGATTGCATAATGGAGTTATCTGGGAAAATGACAGGAGGTGGAATCAGCTTCTATATAAATGAAGGTTGGTGTAAAGATGTCAGAAAGAACTTACAACATGGACTTAGAGACTCTTTTCATCAGCTGAAAACCTTTTTTATTCTTGCAGAAAATGTTTGTTATTCATTCTGGTTGGAGAGTATATAAGACACTGCACACTACAGCAGCTGGGCAAACAGATAACTAGCATGGAATTGAAACAAATACCACCCATGAACTGCCCAAATACAGACAGCACATCAGCTGTCCCACCAGGGACAAAAACACAATGGACCACTGCTACACGGTAATAAAACACCTATCACTCTGTCCCTTGTGCAGCCTTCAGTCCATTTGATCGCTGCATTGCCCAACTCATCCCAACCTACAGGCAGAAACTTAAAGCTGCAAAGCTTGTGATCAAAACAGTGAAGAGATCAACTGAGCAGCCAAAGTCAGAACACATACAACAACAACAAGCCCTGGTCACAGTAAAACTCAAGCAGCTTCACTGTGCCAAAGAGGAGGCCCGCCGAAATGGGGACAGGATCCTGTACAGGCAGGCCAGGAACACACTGACAAGAGAGATCAGAGTAGCAAAGAGGAGCTACTTTGAAAAGCTGAAAAACCAGTGGTCAGCAAATGAATCTTTGTCTGTATGTAGAAGCCTACAAAACATCACTGCTACAGGAAACATTAAGATTTTGTGTACCATTTATCTATCTTATATTTCACCTTGTACTGTTTGGCTTTCATTGTGGACAGCAAAGTAAGAATTTCAGTGTACAGGGAAACATGTTTCCTTACTGTGCACATGACAATAAACACTTTGAGTCTTGAAACCATCCTTTGAAAGACTGGTGTCGGCCCACCTGAAGGACACCGTAGACCCCCTGCTAGACCCCCTGCAGTTCGCCTACCGGGCAAACAGGTCAGTGGATGATGCAGTGAACATGGCACTGCATTACATCTTGCAGCACCTCGACTCCCCAGGGACCTATGCATGGGCCCTCTTTGTGGACTTAAGCTCGGTGTTCAACACCATCATCCCAGACATCCTCCACTACAAACTGACCTGGCTCACTGTGCCTGCCCCCACCTGCCAGTGGATCACCAGCTTTCTGACAGACAGGAAGCAGCAGGTGAGGCTGGGGAAAACCACATCCAGCACCCGGACAATAAGCACAGGTGCCCCACCAAGGATGTGTGCTCTCCCCACTGATGTTTTCCCTCTATACCAACAGTCTCCCCTCAGAGGACCCCTCTGTTAAACTCCTGAAGTTTGCAGATGACACAATGGTCATCGGTCTCATCCGAGGTGGTGATGAGTCAGCATACAGACAAAATTGAACAGCTGGCCCTGTGGCTCAGTTGCAACAACTTGGAGCTGAACACGCTCAAAACAGTTGAGATGACAGTGGATTTCAGGAAGAACCCCCCCACCCTACCCTCCATCACCATACTCAGCAGCACTGTATTAGCAGTAAAGTCCTACAAGCCAGCCTGCCCTCCATGGAGGACCTGTACACCTCACGGGTCAAAAGGAGGACAGATAGGATCACTGCAGATCCCACATATCCTGGACACAAACTGTTTGAATTCCTCCCCTCAGAGATGCAAAAGAGTCACCAAAGATAACACTAAAGGAGCTTCAAAGATCCACAGCTGTGATGGGAGTATCTGTCCATTGGACCAGTTTTGACCCATAGACTCCACAAAGTAGGGCTTTATGGAGGAGTGGCCAGTAAAAAGCTGCTACAAAAAAAAAAAAAGAAAAAGAAAACATGTTTGGAGTTTGCAGACAAAATGTAGCAGATCCCCCAAACACATGGAAGAAGGTTCTCTGGTCAGATGGGACCAAAATGGAATTTTCTGGCCGTCAAAATCCAGCTGTGGCATGACTTGAAGACTGCTGTACAACAGTGTAACCCATCTAACTTGAAGGAGCTGGAGCAGTTTCGTGGCTCAATAAATTATTGACTTCGGGAGTGGTGAATATTTATGCATGCTCAAGATTTCAGTTTTGTTTTGTTTTTTTGTCTTAATTACTGTTTGTGTGACAATAAAAAATCACACAATCTAACTGTTAGGCATGTTGTGATAAAAGCCCACAAAGAATCTATTTTAATTTCAGGTTGTAATGTAACAAAACAGGAATAACACCAGTGGAAGTGTTTGCTCAAGGGGCATTTGTTGATTTCAGGGTATGAAATGATTTCCTTTGGGGTGAAATTCCTGTCAGGCCTGGTTTACAACATGGGCCTATGCCACACTGTATATTTCCAAGCACAGCTGCATTCATGTCTGCTATGACAGGAAGCTTCAAATCAGTCCAAGATGAATACTCTTTCTCTTTGTGTTAGCCGATTCATATTTCAGTTACAGTACCTCATCACAGAAGCTTCACTGTATATCCTCAGTAACTCTTACTAGCTGTTTGCTGTGTTTTACTGTAAGTTATGGTACAAGTGAATATAGAAGTATTTGACTCTAATGAAAACGAGACCTGTCTCCCTTCAGGCCATGTCTTCAACATGCCCCATGACAATGTCAAAGCATGTGAGGAGGTGTTTGGGAAACTAAAGGACAACCACATGATGTCTCCTACTCTGATTCAGATCGACAGGATCCAGCCCTGGTCTGTGTGCAGCGCAGCCATCATTACTGAGTTCCTGGACAGAGGTCATGGTTAGTAAACACTTTCTGAATTATGTCTCTGAGTTCAGATGGACCACTAATCCTGTCCAGGCTTCATGCTCTTAGCTGGTATAATTTAATTGTAACCACAAAAAACAATTCAATTCAGTTTTATTTGTACAGCACCAAATCACAACAAAAGTCATCTCAGGACACTTTACAAACTAAGGTCTAGACCTTACTTCTATTATTATTATAGAGGTAAACCCAACAAATCCCCCTGAGCAGCACTTGGTGACAGTGGAGAGGAAAAACTCCCTTTAACAGAAGAAACCTCAGACAGACCCCGGCTCTTGGTGGGCGGCCTTCTGTCTCCACCGGTTGGGGTGAGTGGATAGAGGAGAGACAAAAGAAGAAAAGCAACAAGACACAATAAACAATCAAACACTGGTCAGGTTGATGTGGCCAGTGACTGCTCATCAGAAACATAGAGCTCCAGGGCCAGAAAGGTACAGGGAGAGAGAGAGGAGACACTAAGGGAGAGGGAGACACAAAGTTAGTGACATGTAATGGTGGCATATAGATGTATGGAGAGGAGAGAAACTCAGACCTTAGCTCTATTTTGTCACAGTTACTCATGACTAAATGGTTGTCTTTTTTTCATTAATGGAGATAATTTATCTGAAGCAGTGGAGCAGGACAATGCTTCAAACACAGCTCTTCCTGTCATGTCTATATCTACCTCCCCATCTGCACCCGTCTGCTCTCATATTCACAGATTATACACAAGTTAGAGCGTTGTCCTTTGCACATGTATTGCCCAGAATGCTTTACTGTTTGAGCAAGAGGTGGAAATAAGACTTTCAACAACTCATTCTTATGAATGAAGAATACGAATAAAAACTTTGTGTCTATGACTTAAGATTGGTTCTTAGGACTTCATTATATTATGATTTTGCTGTTTGATTCTTTTAGCTCCTACATGATATTTAGCTGATCTTTAGACAAATATATTTTACTCACACTTGGTCTTATTTGGTCATTTTTGTTGTTGAATATTTCACTTATATCACAATGTCAATTTACGGTTTTGGTTAGGTCTCACTGTTCTCACCAACCTCATTTGTAGGCACAGCAGGCAACTGTTTTTGTCAATATATAGATAGATAAACTACTTAGCAATTTCTAAGGGGAAATTGTTGAAATACTGTAGTTTAGACAAAGCAGAGAATGGCAAACAAACAGAGTAGTTGATGTTATCTGCCAGTGAGACAAGAGACATTGTTTCTGCGTACATATTGCTTTACTTTTGATGTCCTTTATTTTTAACATCCAAATATCCCGCATCAACTGCACTGAATGAGAATAGAAGTGCAGCCTCAGAAAAGTTGAAATCTGTAGTGAAAATGGCAGATACCAGATTCACACTAGTTTGAACAGACTGCAGTGCATCAACAAGAAATGCAGAAACATGGAAGAAACAGAACAATGAAATCCAAAAAAGTATTTTCCTTGAATTGTAAAAGATGGTGATGATGTATGTACAGTATCCACATTCAATATCACATTCATAAGTATATTAATATGTCATTTTATTTTCGCAGTAGCTCCTTCATGCCAAGTCTTTCTCTGTCAGTGTACACTCCCATAAATGATTGTAAGTGGTTTCTGTGTAATAATTAAATACCAAGTTATTACTGTACCTCCCTTTGACCAGGCAACTCTCATTTGCTAGATTGAACACTGCAAGGGTAACACTACTGTCTTTTCTATGAGTCATTTGCTTAATCTAAACACTATCAGGTGCCTGCACATGTAGTGCTATCTCTGCTTTTATACAGACTGCAGACGTGTTTATTTGAACATAAACATAATACAATAAAGAGTACAAAAATAACTGTCTGCAGTCTGAACATCGTTGCAATGCATAACATTTCTACAGAGCAAAGGTGATTTTGAGACATAATATCATAATATGAAAAGATACAGTATAAATATATATACATATATACACTGTATGTTCCTCACACTACAAAATAAAAAATATTCATGTTTCCTTTGTAGCTCACTAATATTATTTTCATATGTATAGATTGTGCACAGTGTATATGAAGAAAGATTATGTCTCCAATAAATGGATGGATCCATAAAATGAATTGTGACTGTATTAACAAAGATTGTTAAGGAGTGTAGGAGGTTAGCCAAAAGTTTGGGAAACATTTTCACAATGATTTTGTTATTTGACCTCAAAGCTGAAATGGCCTAATTGATTTTTTTGTCCAAATGCAACAAGCTGAAAACTAAACACTGACACCTGATTAAAGTGAAATGTGACATGCATTATCAATCAATAGTTTCAACACAGCAGTGGGCACAGAGCAGCACTATTAGTATTAGTAGTATTCATTCAAGTCACTTTTTCTGCATGTTTTGGTCTGCACTAACTTTTGTGGAAAGCATGTGGCTCAAAATCTACTAAATTCTCACTGGCTACAGTTACTATCTTAGTCTGGCTGCTGTCAGGTCAACTACAGTATGTTTACTAGAGCTTTTACACTGAAAGCTCCAAACATCTGCCTGCTGCTGCTAGTAACAGTAAGGTTTTTAATGTTTAAAAGTGTTGATCAGCAGCAAACTAAGGGCACAGAATGCTAATAATGGTGACTTCATATAAAAGAATATTTGAACACTTCACGTTTTCAGTCAATAGATCACCTCAATTTAATAATCATATAAGGCGATGCAGCTGCAGTCTGATTGATTGCAGTGCTGTTGATTTGTTTCTGTAGGAGACTGTCTGCTGGACCAGCCTCAGAAGCAGCTGTCTCTCCCAGACAGTTTGCCTGGCTCCAGCTACAGCCTGCACCGTCAATGTGAGCTAGCTTTTGGCCACGACTCTAAGCCCTGCCCATACATGCATCCCTGCTCCAAACTGTGGTGCACTGGGAAGGCCCATGGACATCTGGTCTGTCAAACCCGACACTTTCCCTGGGCGGACGGCACCAACTGTAGCAACAGCAAGGTCTGCTACCGAGGAGCCTGCAGTCATCAGAACAGCACCAGGCACATTACGGTTAGTGTTGAAAAATCAGTCCTTCTTGGTAATTTTTGACAAATATAATTGATGTACCTGATACCTGTTTTTTCTGTTGTTGTTGTTAATGTCAGGTGAATGGCCGGTGGGGGAAGTGGGGTGCATTTGGAGACTGTTCTCGAAGCTGTGGAGGAGGAGTTCAGCTGGCCAAGAGAGAGTGTGACAACCCTGTCCCAGAGAATGGAGGCAAATATTGCTATGGCCTTCGTGTCAAATATCGCTCTTGTAACAACAACCCTTGTCCTGAAACAGGTACACTAGTCTCTGTTTGGGTACATTCACACATAATGGCTGTAAACATCTGTTCACTGAACCTCTCCCCAATACAGCAAGCATAGCTTATCAGCCATACTGTCAACACACACCATGTCGATCGAGCTTTAGCTTTTTCTAAATGTTGAAGCAGTGTTCATAGTAAGAACACTATTTATTTATAGCTACAGTTTGGGTGTTGGTGTCTTTTTTATTTTTTAGCTTTTTCAAAACGAAAAACAAGGAAACAAATTTTATGTAATGGATTAAACACTGTGTTTATCTGCTCTAATGTAAGCTTTGAGACTGTCCTATAAAAAGGCCTTTATATGTCCTTTGTGCCAGCAGTTATGTATTATAGTTTGGCATATAGTAGTGGTGCTTGATTCCAATGTGTAATGTGTGTTTTTCACTTTGTTTCTAAACCAAACCAAATAGGCAAAAAGAACATAACAAATTGTCACGGTGTCCTAACGATAATTATGACAGTTTCCATGATGATTAGGTCCCGGTATACTTGCCATCATAACTGTGTTCATGGCTGTTTCCAGGATGATAAAGCAGAAACTTCTGGTACAACTTCACCCACTGCCAACATGCATAGATGAAGAAAAATAACCAGAAAAGGTCAGAACTCCAGCAACACTTGGAGTGTATTAGGTTTTTTCTATACACTGCAAATGTTTCTGGAGTTTTGACCTTTTCTGTTGAATGCTGACCAAACTCCTTAAAGCTTGTCAGGGTGATGGGCATTGTTGGAATTCCACCTGCCATTGTAGATGTGCTATTTCAGCAGATGCTCCTAAGGTCATATGAGAGGGAAGGGATAAATACCAATGTGGGTCTTATACAGTAGGTCAGAGGACTTATTAGCATGTCCGGCTAACTACGACTAATTACAACCTACAGTGGTAACCTAACACAGTATTACTTAATGTGATGTAACGTGATGTAAAACTTCAATCACACTATATAAAGTTAACTGTGCTACAGTAATGGCCAATCTACTCTAATGATGTTTTTAAATCTCCAGGTAAGAGTTTTCGTGAGGAGCAGTGTGAGGCGTTCAATGGCTTAAACCTGAACACAAACAGGCTGGGCTCCTCTGTGGTATGGGTTCCCAAATATTCAGGCATCTCTCCAAAGGACAAATGCAAGCTCATCTGCCGTGCTAACGGGACTGGGTACTTCTATGTCCTTGCTCCAAAAGTACGTATCTAACATGTTGCTTTTACTTAACCACTCCTTCTCTCAAATGTACAGTTCCATCTGTCATGTAAACCAGAGACAAGACCACTGGATAGGCTCCCGATGCACAAGGCAACTTTACTGAGGCATACCAGCAACAAAACACAACCCCTGAGGGCTAAAAGGAATGATAACACACTGGCACGAGAATGTCACACTGCTAGGAATAATCACACACGCTGGCCCTCCAGGCTGGGAGGCTGATAAGCACAGCTGATGCTGATTAGGAACTGGTGCGAGGCCTGGTGAATCCTTAGTACTCAGGACTGGAGGAGTGGCGTGTGGTGGGAGCCGTCTTCCCTGTTCTCTTTCTCTAATCACTAGAATAGTTGAACTATTTTGAGAACATACATAAAGTTTATTAGACAAATTTATGGACATAAGGTATGTAGCAGAGAAACTTCAGTGAGTTCTCAAAATGTCTGGACAAATGATATATTGACTCCTTTCAAATTACCAGTCAAACTTAATTATAAACCATCTGATCTGAGCCTGATAATTGCTGGGTAGTAGATGGCACATAGAACATCTCTGTTAGCATTCTGCATGCTGCTCTGAAAAACATAACCTGCCACACTTCGACTTGCCTAAAAACCCCAGGCACTGTGTTAATGGGTATTAACTGTAAAACCTGCTAATAGAATTTGAACTCCCTGTAACTGAACACCTTATCATGAGTCAAAACCTCATGGGAGGTGAGACTGAAACATTTAGCTAGAAATACTGAGCAGCTCTATGTTCACTAAGGTTTTCAGGTCTGGGATTTTGAATGTAACTGATTGCCCAGTATGATCTCACCCTTATCAACAATCCAAGAAGTTCTTCAACAGCACTGCAAATCAGTGGCAAAGTGTTTGTGGCAGGAGATGGAGTGGCTGCTGCTGCATGGGTAGAGTGGTGAGAAAGGGAACTGTGCAGCCTCAGTATCACTTCGCAGCTGTACGTTGTCAGCAGCTGTTAAGGCACCCAGCAAAGAAACAAGCTTGCAGCAGCAATACATTCCAATAACCTTTCTTTCAGGTTGTTTTTACATCCATATTACCCAATGACATCAGCCCAGCATGGTTTAATTTCTAAAACCTCAAACTCTGCAGGTTGTGGATGGGACCCCCTGCTCTCCTGACACTTCAGACATATGTGTTCAGGGAAAATGCATCAAGGCAGGCTGCGATGGCAAGCTGGATTCTAACAAGAGGTTTGACAAGTGTGGTGTGTGTGGCGGCGACAACCAGGGCTGTAAGAAGGTCTCGGGGTTGTTCACCAAACCTTTGTAAGTACTATGTCAGCATATTCTATATGACTCTTTGGTGTTACAGCTAAGGTGCATGTAGAGGTCAACAGTAGTTTATTATTAAGTATCAGCTTTTTTGTTACATAAAGGCTACGTAGCAAATCTGGAGTCCAGATAATGAAATCAAATTGGAAGTGTTGGTCAGATTTATTTAAAAAAACACTCAAGCATTTTGAGTTTGCTTTCACAAGAAGCATCTGCTGATGTGAACTATGCAAAAAACTGATCTCAGAAGACTTAGGATCAAGAATGTTTAATTTGCATAAAGCTGGAAAGAATTCAAAAGAACTCCTAAACTATATTTATCAGTCTACAGTTAACTGTCTATAAATGAAGACTGTTTAATAAACTCCCAGCCAACTCCAAACGGCCAAAAGAATAATTGCACCTGGTTAATGCCTATGTTCACTCTCGCCAATGTCTTTATAGCCCTTGCCGTGTCCACATAGTACCTCTGTAGCTGCAATTCTAAATAAATTATCATGTGGCATTCAAAACAATAAGGAGAAATGATCACAGGAAATTTTAGGAGACTGCATCTGACTCTAGAACCCAGAGTCCAAGGCATCTTCAGACCAGCTTAGCATAAAGATGGGAAGAAGAGAGACTATGTCAGACAATTTTACAGTTGACTGAAGAAAAACAATAAACTTATGTTCCCAAAATGTTACGTTGTCAGAGACTGTCATGCAGAATATCTTTCTTCTTTGTTGTGTCTGCCACCAAACCATCCTGGATTTGGTGAGAAATTATCTTCATTGCCTTATTGCACAAAATGTTACTGTTTGAAGGGTGAACACTGCAAGACAGTCTTTAGTCATAACTAATGCAAAAGCTGTTCTGAGATACACAGAGGCTACCAATCACCTTGACCATGGTTTGATGTTTATTTTAATGATTCAAAGTTATGATGTCCACTTTTTTTGTCTTGACACAATAGTGCAGCTGTGTAGCAACACGCTGTTACCTCCTGTCTTCTGAATTAGTCTGTAAAATGCTTCATGTAATACTTTTTAAATTAAGAAGTTGCATCATCACTACAAAAACAACTGGCTAGCACCATTCATTTTCTACATCTCCACTCTGCCCCTTCAGTCATGGCTACAACTTTGTGGTGATGCTGCCAGTTGGAGCCTCCAATGTTGACATCCGTCAGCGCGGCTATCGAGGAATGGTCAGTGATGAGAACTACTTAGCAGTGAAGAACCGGCATGGCAAGTACCTCCTGAATGGCAACTATGTGGTGTCAGCTGCAGAGCGTGACCTGCTGGTGAAAGGCAGCCTGCTGCGCTACAGCGGGACCTCCACATCTGTGGAGATTCTGCAGGCCATCAGACCCCTGCAGGAGCCTCTGACTGTGGAGGTACTTTCTGTGGGGAAGATGACCCCGCCCAGAGTGCGCTATTCTTACTACATTTCCAAGGAGAGCAAAGAAGAGAAGACTCTGCGTAAAGAGGAAAAAGGGCACAAAATGCAGAACAGCGTCTTAGTGGATAACAAAGTAGAAGCTAAGAAGCAGGTGACAGGTAAAAGTCCAGTCAGTTACTGGGTGACAGGAAGCTGGGATTCATGCACAGTGACTTGTGGTAATGGTCTCCAGAAGAGGCTGGTACAGTGCCAGAGCATGGACGGGCATCCTGCAGCAGATTGTGACATTGCTGACAGGCCTGTAGTACTAAGAGCATGTGGGGATCCATGTCCCATCTGGGATGTAGGTGCCTGGTCCCAGTGCTCCAAGTCCTGTGGACGGGGCTTTAAAAGACGGTCAGTGCGTTGCATAACCGTGAACGGTTTGAATCTACCCAGAGACCACTGCTCCGGAAAAAGGAAGCCTCAGGAACTGGACCTCTGCAACCTAAAGCCATGTTAGAGCAGAACAGACAAAGCCTGGGGACCTTAGCCCAAATCAGCATGACAATTATACGATGGCTGTGTTGGCTGAAAATAGTGTCAAATGCAGTCTGTGTCTGCAGGGGTGTACAGAAGAAAGTCAATATAGGCAGGCTGCACCTCCACTGTTTGAAAAGATCTGTTTTGTAAAAAGAAACTAGGGAAAGCTGTCCTCATAAACTGTCAGAACATCTGTGGTTAGCCTACCTCTACCAAGACTGATGACAAATGCCTGTGCAAACTGCAGAGGGAGAGATGTAGACAGTGGCCACTCACATCTGCACACAAACATAATCACTTGGTATATTTACATGCATATGAGATTCCAAGGAAAAGGTGGATGGAGGCTTGTGTGATTTAACTTCAACACTCACAGTGAGCTGTTATCAGGAGCAGATGTCTCCTCTGTGAACTGACTTTTTTTTTCATTTCACAGAGGAACTTATCAAACTGTGAAACACAGTACTGTATCTGCCACATTCAAGACCTGCCTGGTTTGTGCATTTTCTGCATCTTAGCTTGTTTCTTAGTTCAGTGCTATTGGCTGCTGTCTGATGAAGGAAAAACTGCTATTCATAGTCAATTCATCTTAACAAAGAACATTATGAGCTTTATATTCTTCCAAAAATGAAAAACACTCAATATTATATCATATGCACTTGACACAGGCTTTATCAAATCGATCAATATAAAAAGATTCCCTGAATTTTACCTGCAACCAAAAATCAGAAAAATATTTTGATAAGTGGAAAATTAGCTTAGTCAGAGCAATGTCGTCAGCTTGTTCTCCACTGTAGGCTGTTTGTATGGTGCAGTCCGAGTGCATTTGTGTCTGTTCTGTGTTGCCAAAGAGTTATGACCTTCCACAAAGACTTAGTACTGTGAGAGACACCTCTTTCCAGGAGCTGGACAGAAGCATAGACTGACAGGAACTATCGCTGTACAGTTACAGTATGTCACCACCTTAAAATTATCTTCGGAATGTTTAACACTCACCTCCTGGGTGCTTAAAAGGTGGCTGTAAAAGTTGAACCACTCAATTAGTCAGTCAACAGAGAATTGATCAAATAATAACAAACAGTGACAATAGATGAACTCAGTGCTGGGAGAACCTTTCAGACTTCATCAGTGTGTGACCGGTCAGCTTGAGTGGGGAGAGGTGCTTCTGTTAGACAAGAAAATGTTTCTAAACTGAAATTGTTCCTTCAGTTTTTTTACTCAAGCTCATGTATTACAATAAAATGTTGACACCAGTCTCTTATAAGCAACATTTAAAGCTGCAGAAGGCAAAAAGCAGCAAACTGTTAGACTATGTAGTAATAATAGAAATGACTTTTAAAAAACCTGGAAAGTTGTTCCATGATTCGAGGAGCCAGTACAGCAATTGTTTGATCACCCTTCATTTTTAACCCAGACTCTGGTGCTATATGTTCATTTATACTCCTGCTGGCTATGCCATGGACCCACAGATAACAAAGCATAACAATAATCTAGCCACTAATATAACTAAATTAATACACTGTTTTCACGTCATGCTGTCACCATCCTCAGATCTCCAAGAATACAGGAAGTGAGTGTTTTGACAAAGTTTCTATTCAATTGTTGGCTGGTTTTCTTTCTGTACTTCTACTCTATGGCTGCTTCAACACCTCTAGCCCTTAATTATAAGACCTTAGTATATGTACATTGAGTCCAGACATTTGCCAAGATCATGTCAGCCTTTGTTTAGGACTACTATACTGTAGGTCCGAACCATCAAACTTGCCTTGGTGATCCACTGACTCTCTGCAGTGAACTGTAAAGTAAAACCTAGAGGATGTACAAACAGCAACAAATTAAATGAAAAGCATACCATAAAATACAATCACCAAACATCTATAGGTGTACTTCCTGGCATTGCATTTGTCCTTTTGAAAGGATTGTTTTCATTTCACTGGATAGCTGCATGTCCAACACAGCTGAAAATATGTGGAGTTTAATAGAAAGTGCTTTACTGCCAGCTGTCAGTCTTAAAAATAGTTGGCCCATATTTGGGGTCAAACTGTAAGATCTGAAATGCAAGAGCATCTGTCTGGAGTATTTTAGGAGGCTACTGTATTCAACAATTGGGCAGAAATACTAAGAGACCAAGTTTGCCACTTCAGCAGAGCAAAATTTTAAAATCTACTCCATGTATTGAAAGGCATGTCCAGCCTGTTTTGGTTCAGAGGAACAAATTATACCATCTGAAAGATGGCTTTTTCACATCATGTACAGATAACATTATTTTTTATCAACTGTCTTTTGTATTGTATACTATGTATACATTCATCTAGCTGTATAGAATAAAGTATATATGCTGTATATATGAGATTATAACCATATGCTGACCATAGGCTTCAGGTTTTGAGGTATTATTCAGGTGCTATATATTAAAGCAAAAAGGAAATATTACTTTACAGATATCTGTTGTTTCTTGATCATCTCCCTTTGTTCTTGCAATATCTGTTACATCAGATTTTTGCTGTGCCTGCAGTCTTCCGTCACATGAGATGAGACAGTCTTGAAAGCTCAGCTCTTCTCCAGCTAAACCATGACCCCAGCTGAAAACACATTCATTCATCCACTTTGGCATTTTGTTGATTTAAGCTTCATTGTCCCAGTTGTACTGTAATAGCACACCCAGCATGACCAGTGCCTGCCCAGTAAGCCTGGAGCACTGTTGAACCGACATCATTCACACTTAGTACCAAGGACCACTGAACCCAAGGACCCATGTGAGAGTTTAAAGGTACACACTAAAACAATGTGCATGCTAAAATCAGGGTTTTGGGATAGAGGGTGTGTAAGCTTTCACTCGTTTTCCAAACTTGATGAGCCCCTTTCAGAGCCACAGAAAAGGTGGCAATTTATTTATTTATTATTTATTGTTACTGAAGCTGCTATGGATAATTATCCAAAACATGCTTGTCAATCAGAACCACAAACTGAAAAGAGAATCTAATTTCTACTAATTGAAATTCTGTAGATTTGCATAAATGAAATAGTATATGTGCTTCTACACCCACAGGAAGCAACATTTTAAATGAAAACACAAAAAGCAGTTACTCATCAATGTTAGATATTTTTATTTTGGTGTTCCTTTGGTGTCTTCTGGTTTAAAGCAGTACAGACAGGCTGGTTTAGTAAATATAAAAATGGGCAATTTAATGATGTCACATCTTATGACTCCAGTAAAACATCTTGATGTGATGGGTTTAAATGATTAGCTTGAACATCTGTGGACAAGGCTGGAGAGATGAAGTTACCTGATGAAATGCTGGATAAAATGCCTGTAGGTGTAGGTGTGAATGCTTGTCTGCTTCTGTGTCTGTCTTGTGATAGACTGGCGACCTGTCCCAAGTATGCACTGCCTCTCGCCCAGTGTCAGCTGGGGCTTCTACAGGATTAGCCGTACAGATAACAGACTACCGAGCCTTAGCAGCCATAGCTTTCTAGTTCCTAGTGGTTTTTTTTGTTTGTTTGTTTGTTTTTTGTTTTGTTTCTGCTCAGCCCTGATACCTCCTCTTGTCTCACTGGTCCACAAAGCCTGATTTTGACCCAGAAATGGTCTTATGAACTGTTTTCTGATTCTGACCTGACCGTGAACAATGCATTTGAGATTAAGCCTAAATTGTTACAGAAGCCAGCTGTTAAACCTGTAGCTGTCAGCCTGGGGACTAGTTGACGCCCCTGGAACAAACCAGGCACTAGGTATTCACACAGTCATTCATGCTGTAGAAAGGTTCAACAAGCAGCATTTTATCATAAATATCTGTCTCCATTTTGTTCACCAGTTAGTCTCATGCTGTGTTTCTCGGTTTGCTGCTTAGCAGATAGTGGACTAATCAGAGCTTTAGCATTTAACTTAGCTGCTTGTTGCATCTTGAAATGAGGTTGGTGAGACTGAACAAAAGCTTTCATTTCAGCTATTCAGTTCACTGGGAAAGTGTCCTGACTGGTAGTGTATGTCTGTATCTTCTTACTACTATTTTGTTACTTTCCTTCATAATGATGGGTATAACAGGTTACAGTAGGTTCACAGTCATGATTCACATGATGTAATAAGACAATAATAGAAGCAATTTGAGATATTTGGGGTAGCTCATGGAGAGACATGAGAAATATATTCCTGTGTGACACTGCATTAAAAAACATATTTGATTTTAATGTGTCTGGAAATGAGATCAAACAGTTAAGTCAGCCATTACAGTTCTGTTCCACTGGCCTACACAGCTCCTCAGCCCATTTCATCTCCTTACACCATCCTGCATTACACAGTAAAGGAACAAAAACCTGTAGCATCTGTCATCACAGTTTAAGTCTTTAATGGACCTGGGCTTGCTACTGCCTGTAGAATCCTGAGTGGATCAGGGCTTTTACTAAATGTGAGATATGACCCATTGTTCTCTTGGATGCAGTTTCACCTCACAGTGGTCTGCTGCTGCAGAGCCATGACCAGAGAGAGCTCTTGTCCGGAAATCACATTATCTGATTTGCACATCAACAACACAGCAGTTAACACCATTCTCTGCCAAGACTGGAATGGATTTTGATTTAGCCCCCACCACCTCCTTTCTTCAGCCAGGGGCCTGTCCACCTATTCAGACCCTGCTCACATGAATAATGAGCATGAAGAGTTCATGTTTCTCAGTCCATGGGAAATGCTCAGGCTTTAAGTTGGCCTTTCCTTACACTGACTGAACTGCAAAGTCAGAATGACCACCATTGCAGAATTAAATGCATGCGGAAAGCTGTAAACAATTGGCTGTAGCATTCATTTGCCAAGGCATCGAAACATGCATCAAAGATCACCACTTGTTTAACAGAGTTAAATACAGAAAGTCTTGATCTGGTTTTATCAGCAGTTGTTCACTGATTAATGTCTTAAAACTTATTTTCTTTAATACCAGATTTTCCAGAACTATCAGAAATACATAACTCACTCACAGCCATATCTTAAATTCATCCTCAGCAAGTAAATTTTATTAATGCCTAGCCTTTTCTGACCTCAAGCTTTGCTGTTCATTGAACATCTTAGGCTTAAAAATACTTTATGCCGTGAAGTTTATATTAACTTCTCTCTAATATCTAAAAGTCCCTCCTTGACCAAAGTAAAAATACCTGCTGAGCAGTTTACTGATTATATGAAAGGGCAGTAGGCTCCTTGATGAATTTCAGTCAGGTAGTAGTGCTGAGAAATTGATTTCTACAATCCCTAATTAGGGTTTAGTACTGAAACCCAGTGCCATATTGGTTCCTGTACAATCAATATCTACCATTCCGACTCAGTGCAGATTTCAGTGCCTCATTTTGGTGCCACTTAAATGCCTCTTGATTGAAAATGTTTCCCTCTGGTGCGGTGAAACAGACAATACAAGCAACAGAAGCATCACTGCATGTCACGTGCAGAGGCTATCAGTACACTTTGTGTTCCATTTACCTCAGAGCTTGGACGTCGGAGCTAGGAATAACATCACACTTGAGTTAACTGCGTTCCACTTTCACTTAGACATAATACCAGTTGAGCTATGTTAGCCGTACCAGGTTATAACAACGCATTAAGGTATTTTGCACATACAAACACAGTAGCAACATGTTCATTGATAGATGTTATGCACTGGGTAAAAGTAATTTCTGTGTGGCTGCCAACAACTGTCCCCAGTTCATTTATTGAGTACCTCAGGGCTCAGGCCTTGGCCTGTTAATTTACTCTATTTTCCCATTTAGGTTCTCTTTCCACTTGTATTAAAACTCAATTTAGAAACTCAAGTGTTATCTTATGTAATGTTTGTTGTTAAAGCTTGTTTCCTTCCATTTTGTAATATATGTAAAAACAGCTAACAAAATCCATGGATGACTTGCATGGATATACAAGACAAAAGTTTTATTGCCTTCATAGGCAATAAGACATTTATATTCATTAAAACTGTATCAGACTAGATTAAATGTAAAATGGGTTAATGGTCTAACAGCTAATGATTTACTCATCATTTGTGTTAGAATAACCATATGTTTCAGGAGATTAAGTGAATTTGTATTCCGCCTGGAGTGATGCCTTGATATCTGCTTGTGATTTATCTCATTGTTTATCTCAACCTTAGATGATACACCAAGCCTTGCAGCTGGGGTTTCAGAGTCAACACAAAGAGTTTAAGCTTGTTTCAGTGGTGCCTGTGTCGTCATATGTAAATCTTGGCTCAGGCCAGACAGGAGTCATTCCTCTTGAGGAAGAGAGGTTGTGGTTTGAATCAATAAATTCAAAGGATCAGGGCTCTGAGCTACAGTACTTTACTTGCAATGCTTTCTCCCCATACTTTAGTTTTAAATTGAAGGACTGAATATTTTAATGATAATAATAATAACACTTTATTTATATAGCACTTTACAACTTGAAAGGGGCACAAAGTGCTTCACAGCAAAACGTATGTACGTAAAAACCTAAAATAGATTAAAACACACACTTTAAAACAGAGGGGAAACTGCATGTTGAAATATAAATAACATAGAACAAGTTAAAAATATCTCCGTGAAATGAGTTCAGTACCGAAGGCCTGCCTAAAGAGATGTGTTTTTAAAGTTACTTTGAATGAGGCCAGCTCAGTTATGGACCATAGTTCTGGTGATAGAGAGTTCCAGAGCTTGGGGCCACACATGGAGAAAGAGCAATTGCCCCATTTTTTGTATCGAGATCGCGAGACAGTCAAAGAGAGATGCTCTGAAGAGCGTAGAGCTCTATGTGGGGCATAGACAGAAACGAGATCTGACACATATGAGGGGGTGAGGCCGTTAATCGACTTGAAATTGAGAGAGAGGTCAGAAACAAGATATTACACATGAGCCTATTTACAATGCATTTCACCCCCAGGAGCTGAAATATTGCACCACAGAAGATTATTGCATAGTCCCTCATAATTTCACCTATCTTATCACTGTAGTGATGTGATGTACAGTCTGATGGCTGTGGGAAGGGATGACCTGCGGTAACGCTCCTTCTTACACTGGGGATGTAACACTCTCATGCTAAAAGAACTGTTCAGAGCCACCACTGTGTGGTGCGGGGGATGGGAGGGGTTATGCATGATGGATGTTAGTTTTACCAACATCCTTCTGTCCGCCACCTCCTCGATGAAATCCAGAGAGCAGTCCAGGACAGAACCAGCTCTCTTAACCAGAGGTAACCTGAGGTAAGAGGGGCTGCCATTGAGGAGAAATTGCCGATAGCAACAGAAAAGGTCCTATTGGTCAGGAAAGAGGTGAACCAATATAGTACTGCGCCTTTCAGGCCAACACGGTGTTCCAAACAGGATAGCAAAACTGCATGATCAACGGTAGCGAAGGCTGCCGAAAGATCTAAAAGAGCTAAAATAACGGGCCACTTGGCATCAAGGGCCATGGTAATGCCATTGTGGACTCTTAGCAGTGCAGATTTTGTGCTGTGGCGAGGCTTAAAACCAGATTGAAACTCATCTGCGAGATCCAGATGGTCCAAATGAGGCTGTAATTGAGTAAGGACAATTTTTTCCATAACCTTGGACAAAAAAGGCAGAAGGGAAATTGGGAGGGAACTGGACAACTGGGAGGGGTCAAGATTAGGTTTTTTTAAGAGTGGTCTCACTACAGCATGCTTAAGGGTAGTCGGAACCAAGCCCCGCTCAAGACAACAGTTAATAAATATGACCAGAGAGGGACCAATCATGTCGATAGTCTCCTTGATTATCCTGGCAGGGACTGGATCAAGGAGGGAGGAGGCAGACTTTAACTGTAGGACAAATTTCTTGAGTTGGGGCAGAGAGATCGGGGTAAAGGTCTCTAAAGTATCCAATACATGAGAAACAGGTGATGCAGGGGATGTA